TAAGTGTATTAATACACAACAAACTCAATAACCAGTAGCAGCCTCACCATATTCAATACTCTTCCCACTCTATCTGCTTTCTTTCTCTGTTGTGTTTGCACTCACTGATCTCTGTGTGACTCCTGCAGATCCTATGATATGATTTTTGGACCGGCCAACCTGGGCGATGATGCCATCAGGAACTTCAGAGCCAAACACCACTGCAACTCCTGCTGCCGCAAACTCAAACTCCCAGGTGAGGCGTCGGGAGCAGCTGCTGTTCAGTCTTCCTAGAATAAAAGACTTCGGACGCTCCAACCTCAACCAGAGCATTCGGACAATTTAAGGACTCCCTCCAGTCATACAAATACTCTACTTTGAGTTATGATTTAGTTGAATATGTTTTTTCACTCATGGTAACAAAATTAAGTAAATTAATTGAACATAAAGCATTGAGAAAGCAAATGACAATAATAATAGTGTTTAAAAATGGTATATTGCAAATTACGCAGTCATCTCTCAGCAGTGTTTTCTGAACAGCCAGCGTCAGCAGAGTAAACAGTATATATTATTCATTGCACTTGTATTTTAATAGCACAACACTGAACAGCTAGAACAGCCTAGTCAGTTCAGGAAATTACATCCATTTCCTGTGACGCAGCCTTTAAAAAAAAAAAGCAAGAAAACACACTTGTGCAATATAACGATAACCAAAATGTAGGATGTATATTGATTGAAATGTCTTCATTGCCCAGCTGTAGCATAAACATTGAAAGAGAGAATACAAACACACGGTAACCAAGGTAACCATTTGAATCTCTTGCAACATATTTTTCCTCTTCTCCTCCCAGATATAAAGCGTAATGACTACACCCCGGATAAGGTGACGTTCCCACAGGAGGACCCTCCGAATCCAGGGGGCGGGGTCAAAGAGTCCCGCCAATCAATGAGGCTGATGCTGTGAGCGGATCGAAACGAGGAAGTGAACGAGCGAGAGAGAATCATGTCCAGGACGCTATTTCAGATCAATGTTTAGTCGAAGCCAAGGAGCAGAGAGGCGCACCCAATCAACTGGAAGAATCACACCTGAGTTTCCATGGAAACCAGTGCATGCAGACTGTGTCATGCTTTTGTCGATCCCACCAAAACGCTGTCGAACACAATTCAACCATCTTAACCTTGTTTTGTTTTTTTAAAAGTAAAAATACACGAGGAGAAGATGTTTTTAAACATATTTTGTACAAGTTTATGAAAATATATATATATATGAACTGGATATATCCACAGGTACCGTTTTGTTGCAGAGGGTTTATTATTTATTATGAAGTTTGAGAAGTTGCCTTGTTTTAAGAAAAAAAAAGAACACATCTAAGTGCATTGTACATCTGTTACAGCAGCTTCAGAGGACGGCTGCTGAGCCACTGCTACACTGCATCATTTTTATAATGTGTAAAGACTCGTATCACAACCTTTTGTCTCTTAGTTAATGAACAGATATACATGAATTTGAAAATCTTGTAAAATATGGGCAGATTGCAATGCAACTTTTACAGAACAATGTATGTAATGTTATTGTATTGAGAGTGTGTCCACCAACATATTGCTGATAGTTTTTATTGTTACAAAGGTACTATTGCTATATCTTTGTCATCAACTATTGTATGAGCAAATTACAATCTAGTGTATCTTATAGATACTGTTATCTGGCATGAGCTGAACAGATTAAAATATTTTATTCAGGGGAACTGACAGACGTAAGGGTATTACTGTAAACATTTTGTACTGGACATCATTTTAAACAAATAAAATGTTAAAAAAGCTTTGGCAACATCGTTCGAAATCATGTCTGTGTTTCAATGCGTGACAATTATTCAGATTAAAATCAAATTCATATTTAGTAGTAAGCTTTAAGAAGAAGAAGAAACAGCCACTTATATCTGCAGGGGTTATTTCCAAATGTATTTGGTATAAAATACAGCTGAAACCTTCTGGGTCTGTTGAGCACAAAAAACAAACTTCATTGGGGCCCAGATGTCAAGATTGGATGCTCTTTTTTTGTCTTTCTGACATAATTCAACCTTGTATTTAATCATTGATATGATTAATCGAGAAAATAAAATGCCATCGTAAAATGTTGTGTCCACATTGATGTGTCAAAGTCAACTTTAATGTCAATCTTTCAGTTTATGTGTACAGACAGAGAGATCGAAATAACGTTTCCAGGTCTGTATATATTTTCAGGCTTGCATACCTCACATCGTTTTAATTGAATTGTTGCCATTGCACAGAGTCCATCATCAGTGGGGCAGTGCAGTCCTGCAGATCGTCCTGCTGGTGGATTCTTGAACGTATCTGTGCAGAGGAGACAAAGAGTCCGCTGTGTGAACAGATTCCTCAGAGGGGCAGCAGCTGCTGGGGTTTGAAATCCCCCACAGTAACCCCCGTTCATCTCCCTCGGACCAAACTGATGGAGGCTCAGCTGTTAGATACAGTGATAGGTGAGCTGAGGACACTGATGATTGGCCCTTGGCTTCAATTCTACATCGGTACAGTCACTTTTCCTCATTCTTAACGGGTGAGGGATTTTTATACAGCTTTTCCGTGTGTACTTTGGAAAGAGTCACTGTTTCCATGCGCTCCTGCAGCAAGTGGACATTGACTGAATGTGTGAGTTCTGCACAAAAGCATCCCAGGAGGACATCTGCTTTATTCATCAAACTGTGGCTGCTGAAGCCTTGTGTGATCTTGATGATTTGTCCTCCAGCACTATTTGGAATAGCATAATCATTCAATTATAATATTGAAACTTGGTGAATTTGAGGGGTAGAAACCGAAGTGGAATGTTTTGAGCCACAATGAATGTGCCGCTGTCTACATGTTAGTCATTGTTTCACTTGCAACCTGACTCAAGAGAGTGCAATGCAAAGGAAACTAGTCATCCATGTATCTATCAATGCCAATTTGAGTGAATTGGGTCTGGAAAGTCATTGAAAGGTCCTTGAATTGGTTATTTAACGAGGAGTAGGAACCTCCTCAAGAAGGAATAATTAAGGAAGTTCTTCAAATTCTTGACTGTTTGTGAATTTTGAAGGAAAAAATTGAGGCCTTGAAAGATTTAGAAGATTTTCATAAATAGACAGGCGTTTTAAAGTGCTTAAATGTATATATTTATAAAAAGAAATATTTATTTACATGCAAGTGAAGACATTTAAGTGATTTTACGTTGTTATTTTTCTCAAATCTCTACATAACTTACTAATTATATTGTTTTGCTGTGTTAGAGAAGACGATATTGCCTTCTGTCACTAATACAGCAAGGCATTTTTAAACACATGGGCGTTTCTCTCTTTAATTGATATTTCTGAGTTTCTTTAATGCCTGCTATTACTCTTTGTGTCACAAATTCTCAGTGTTGTGACAGTCATGAACCTTGATCTATGTCTCAAACTAAGCCCTGTCTTGTCATTTTGAGTGAAGTGGGACCTGTGAAACCTTTGAATTTGAAGAAAATGAAGTGGTGTGGGAACACTTGGTTAAAGAAGCATTAAAGTAACTCTTGAACACGGCATGAGAAAAGAAACTAAGTGTACTGAATATAAATACAACTGGTGGCTAGGTATGACTCAGAAGGCAGTCAGACTGGTTTCCCCCTCCCACAGGGTGCGGTGTACTTTTATAAAGACGAAAACAATGACTCTGCACTTTATTCTACTCATTTCCTGACTAAAGGCTCACAGCTCTACGTCGACTTAAAGCCGTGAAAACAGCTCTCAAAGATCATGGCTTCAGTGGAGGTCGAATACTGGTGAGTGTTTCACTTTATATACTGTAACATGATCTCAGAACACACTGTAATAACATCTCTAAAGTTAGAAGGTAGATCTTTGTTTTATTTCACACTAGGGCGTAGTCCTGTTGCTGTTGGGAATTATATCTCAATACTCAAACTATGTTAAGGATCCTAACTTAACAGGATTTACGAGGGTTTTATATAAGTATTGTATGTAAACATTGCCGTTTCTGAGCTTGTATTAGTATTGTATTCTTCTTACTACTTGTACTTTTATGTAAATACTTTTCATCTAATAGAATCCATTTTGTTTATACCACCATACTACGTACAGTGAAACATGGGAAGCATTCTTGTTTGAAGTTTTCTGTACTTTACTTTGTGTCAATCCAGCAATTGTATATTCTTTCAAACTAAATATTGTATTTCATGGTTTTACAAATAAATATATTGTGGATCAAAAGAAAAGGACACAGAAATACTGAACTTTGAGCTGTAAAAGATCTGCTTATTTTCATCCACACAGACATTCTTTATTGGTCTGAGAGTTTCTGTGTGCCAATAATCTGTTTGTTTTTCCTGATGTGTTTCTCCTCCTTCTTGTTTTGTTTGCAGTAGCGGATGAGGTTACTCATACCGTTACGGGCAACTAGCCGAAGCAATTCGGCAGGTTCCTGGAGTGAAGGAGGTGACCGGGAGGGTCGGGAGGCAGAGTAAGATGCTTTTGCTTCTACACTCAGACTCATCCGTCATAATGAAAGAGAAAAGGACACAACATAAAGTAGTCTTATCATGACACGTTATGGGTAACAACCAGAGGTCGAAGAAGTACTCAGACCTCGAACTTGAGCAACAGTAGAAGTACCAGTGTGTCGGAATACATGTAAAAGTCCTGCAATCAAATTGTGACTCAAGTAAAAGCACAAAAGTATTGCCAAAAGTACTCATTATACAAATTGGCCCATTTCAGAATTGTATATATGATATGATTGATTATAATTATTGATGCATAAGAGTGTTATCAAGGCTGGTAAAGGTGCAGCTAGTTTGAATTACTCTGTATACTGCAGGCTAGCTTGTTACTCTCAAACTAAAGCATTATTTAAGTGTTTATCATATTTCACAAGTAAAAGTACACGATTAACCTCTGAATTGTAGTGGGGTAGAAGTACAAAGTAGCAGTACAGTACTTGAGTAAATCTACTTAGTGACTTTACACCACTGGTAACAATGGGACTTTTTAAACACTATCTCTTGTCACGTCCTAAAAATATGATTGTTTACTCGTTTTTCTTAAGTGTCAGAACTTGAAAACCAACCTGTTTTTGTTCTGGTGTTTCTTTTGGTGACAGGAATGTAGTATCAGTGATATAGTTCCTGTTTCTTAGATAAACCTGCTTTACTTACACACAGATACTATTGTGTAAATAATACAATATACTACAATGAATTAACATTGATGTACTTTCTCACCCCACAGACAGCTTTGAGATTTCTGTGAACGGCCAGCTGATCTACTCCAAGCTCAAGACGGGAAAAATCCCTCCTCCGGATGAGGTCAGTGTGTCAGTCAGTTATGTTTTCTACATCTTTTTTTAAAGTATAGCATTACAACAAAACAACTGATTAGTTTTAAGTGGATGAAGGTTTTATTTTAGGCTCATAAAAACATTTGGATGTCAAGTTACAGTAAACATTTCTACATTTTTTTTTTACTGCCAGCAGAATCGATATCACATTCGTTATCACTAGTTATTATAAGATACCAGGATTACCTGGTTACTGATGGGGAATTCACATCAGTTAATATAACATGAAATAAATCAATTTGATTTAATATTCAACAGTAAACCAGGGTCATGCTCTGTGACACCATCATACTAACATGCTCAAAATGTTAACCGTGTTTGAAGTTTACTGTGATAGCATGCCAACATACACTATAAAAGTAGTACTTATCACAAAAGTTAAACAATATTAGACGAGAAGTCGGACTTTGAGTTGGACTATCAACCAAAGAGATTACAATTCATCCTGAGCGGCTCATCAATGCTTATTGACAATTAGATGACAACTTATCCATGAATCGTAACCTGTCCTTAACAACCAACATGTTTTGTGTTTCCTGTGAACAGGTCGTGAAATTGATCAAGAATGTCTTGAACAAATGAGGACACCGTTAAAAGCTGGAGGTTAAAGCACTGCCTGTATTCACACTGCAAGGTCAATGGTTTGTTTTTTGAATGGCTACTTTCTCTCACAACTGCTTATTTGAGCACAAAAGGAAATTCAAACAAGAAAACAAGACAAGAAAAACAATCCTAAAAATATGATTGGGAAAAATTAAAACAAAGACAAATGAGTTTTACCGTCAGCCATCAGACCATTTATCTTCACTGTGAATACAGGCAAGCGATGATAAGAGCAACTCTGAAGATCTGGGCGCTGATCTTTACTTCTTTTTATGAATGAACACATGAAAAAATAATGCCGTGTGTTCACGATGCAAGTCAAGAAGCTGTTCAGCTGCCTGGAGCCTGAGGAACTGCTCTCTTCAAAAACATCACACGTACACTTACTCAGGAATGGGAACAAATGAAATTGTTACTCAAACCACACATGTTACCAATATAAAGGAATATTTTGACATTTTTGGAAATTTGCTCATTTGCTTCCTTGCCAAGGGTTAGCCAAATGAGACGATTGCTACCACTTTTATGTTTGAATGTTAATATGAAGCTACGGCTAACGTTTGGTTAGCTTGTCTTAGCCTTATGTCCCGAACCAAGGGGATACATCTAGCCTGGCTCCTGTCAATCAAAGCGGCCTACCAGCACTTCTGAAGCTCACTAATGAACATCTGTTTTGTTTGATCCATGCAAAAACCAGAGTGTAAAAACAGCAATTTGCTGTTTGATGGTGGGGTTATATGCCGGACTGTTTCATTGCCTGGCCCCCTAGCAGAGACTTACGGGTCCAGGCAATGAAACAGTCCGGCACACAACATCGTGAAATAGTGAATTGTCATTTCTACACTTTTGGTTTTTGTGTGGATCAAACAAGGCATAATGTAAGATGTTTAGTTTTGTGAACTTTAGAGGTTCTGGTAGGCAGGTTTGTTAAGTCTGAACGGTCTGAACAGAGCCAGTCTAGATGTCTCCCCCTGTTTCCTGTCTTTATGCTAAGCTAAGCGAACCAGGTGCTAGTTGTAGCCATATTGTTATTAAAGGAATAGTTTGACATTTTTGGAAATAAGATAATTTGCTTTTTTGCCAAGAGTTGGCAAATGAGACGACTGCTACCACTTTTATGTTTGAATGTTAATATGAAGCTACGGCTAACGTTTGGTTTAGCTTATCTTAGCATTATGTCTGGAACCATGGGGATACATCTAGCCTGGCTCCTGTCAATCAAAGCTGCCTACCAGCACTTCTGAAGCTCACTAATGAACATCTGTTTTGTTTGATCCATGCAAAAACCAGAGTGTAAAAACAGCAATTTGCTGTTTGATGGTGGGGTTAATGCGGAACTGTTTCATGCCTGGCCCCCTAGCAGAGTAACGGGTCCAGGCAATGAAACAGTCCGGCACACAACCTCGTAAAATAGTGAATTGTAATTTCTACACTTTTGGTTTTTGTGTGGATCAAACAAGGCACACAGTAAGATGTTTAGTTTTGTGAACTTTAGAGGTTCTGGTAGGCAGGTTTGTTACGTCTGAACAGAGCCAGTCTAGATGTTTCCCCCTGTTTCCTGTCTTTATGCTAAGCTAAGCGAACCAGCTGCTAGTTGTAGCCATATTGTTACCATTCAGATACGAGTGGTCATAATCTTCTCATTTAACTCTCGGCAAGAATTTATAAATGCCAAACTATTCTACCATGTTTTGGTAGGTCAGACATACAATATATATATATTTTTTTTTTGATTAGAACTAAATCTGAAATCATGATGAATACAAACTCTTCTCTTCAGATCGAATTTGCAAAATATGCCCTAGTACTAAATCTGCTATTTCTTGTTACTGTAGCAATTGTATTAGCGTAGCAAAAATGACTTTGACTCGAACATATTTGAACTTTTGAAAACAACTTAAAGTATTGTTATGCTTTTGTAATTTAATTTGTAATAAATTCAAACCACGCTAATTCTCTGAAATGCAATAAAGCATCACTGAACAACCAATGATGACTTTTACTTATGGAAGTGCCGAGTTGTTTTGGCAAAGTAACGCCTGACTTCAGTCAAATTTCTCTCTGTGGTGATCACAGCCGGCTGTGTGTCTGATACCATCTTCCCCGTCAATGGTGATTGACTTCCTCCTCGTCCTTCTGTTATCACCAGATGAAATCAATATCAATAAGCCTATCTGATAAATCAACATGGGGCGGAAACACAGCTTCCTGCTAAAACATGAATTATTTGTACACCGGTCAATCTGGAGTCTGGGCTGTTTAGCTTCTATATATCACGTCTTATTTTACCTTAAGTGAATGAAAACTTCTAAAAATACACAAAAAAAAAACTGTTTTCCATTTGCATTTGAAGATTTCTCCAAAATTCCAGAAACATTAGCATTGGACAAGGATGTAGCCTATTTACAAATATAAATGTATATATTATATATCACAAATTCCCTTTTTAATACACATTTAATATGTCAATATAGTGTTAATATGATTGATATGAGAACAAATAATACCCTGACATTTCCAACCTGACTTTATCCGATGTTTAGATCTCTGTTCTGGAAAATAATAGAAATGAGCACGTAGTAGTTTATTTATTAAAATAATGCATCATATGAATATATAAACATGAAACTACAAACATTTATTTAATACATACAAATAATAATAATAAGTAACACATTTTTGTTTTTTGGTGATATTTATTCGTGAAAAAGTCTGTAAATGCTCATGATAGGTGTGTCCTTTTAAATCTGCAAAGTAACAATAACTAGGTGTCAAATAAAAGTAGTAGTGAAGTAAAAGTATAATATTTGAATGTAATATAATCTTATTTTTTGAAAAAATCATCTTATAATAGCATTTTATATAAGTAAACAGTACCTTTCATATTTGAGAACTTGCTTAAACAATCAGAAATACAGGAATATTCATGTTTTTTTCAGTGGTTATGTATCTGTGTGAACATATTGAGCGGTGATAAGAGGAGCAGCTGTGTGTTTGTTGTTGTGTCGGTGAGTGGAGGTCACAGAGTTGAACACGCCGCTCACTCCCCTCACAGGGTCCTTCTCCGGCCTGTCTGTAGCCTTAAGCTTATTGCTTCCTATTGAAAACATAAATCTTTAAAAACGGGTCATGGTTCTATATAACTACTTAAAAAAAAAAAAAGGCTAACCAATAGGAAAAACACATTTCCCAGCTGGCATGTGAAAAAAGTTAATCTTATTATACTATATTATAATTTCCTAAAACAGCTGTGCACTGTTTTTATTTTAGCACACATTAGGGGCAGACTGTGAATCTGTCGGGGGTTTTTTCAGCCACAGTTTTGGTTTCTATTGAGTATTTGTGGCAGCAGAGCAGCATGTGTCATAGACTAAAGAAAAAAAACACAGTGACCATCAGGATAAGGAAATGTATGAAACGCAGAAATATCAAAGCTATATCACGCTTTGGATGCACAGAATACTTGTTAATAGGATTAATTCGCTGTTGGCTTTTCATGCGATTTATTAACCGCGTTATCCTTCAAAGGGAGCCATTGTTCTTTGTGTTTACTGTCAATGTAACAATGAAAGGAACATCTATTTTGGCTCTTTAAGCCCTCTAGATTGATTTTGAAAGTAGTAATAGAGGACTTCTGCCCATGTAATCTCTTCACTATATAATCCATAAAATACACAGATAATAACAAGAGATTTGTCTGCTGTTTGCAACACTGGTGTTGGGGTTTTACTGCGTGGTAGAGTAACAACTGTCAACAGGAAACTCATCTCCACATCAGAAGCTGCCGTGGTTCTCTTTTTTCACAAACAATGTTATCTGTACTATGTGTTGTGATCGTAATGGAGACAATAGTTGGTGTGTGTGTGGGGGGGGGATCATTTTTAGCGCTCTAACTGATTGTAAAGACCCACACATAGGCTCTTTGTCTGCTTATGAGAAGTCAGAGATGCAGGCACAACGACCTCATTGCAGTTTCTCTCACACACACACCTCATTTGTAATCATCAAGTTTGTGAGGTCGTCTCCTCTTAGTTAAATGTCTTTCTAATCTGTATTCCTTTTTTTAGGGATTGTTTGTTGTACAGTCAGTTTATATAAATCAATGTTGACAAGCCGTAACTTTTCCTATCTCATTTTTTGTTGACATTTCTGTATAAAGGTCCTTATATTAAGCAATATAAGGTTATAAGGCCATTAAGCCAATGTGTGTACATATAACGTTAAGATCAGTAACATGTGTTAATGTTGGATTACTATACATGTATAAGCACGTCAAATAAACTAGTGTTATATCAATATACAGCCTTAACACATTCTATAAATGCAGTCCATTAACTTAAATACATTGTCAGAATTTTTCAAAAGATGTTTAATGGCTAATTTAGTGGCAAACCTGTCCTTTAATTCTCGTTTTCTGCACAGGTTTTTAATTCGAAAGAAACAAATTAGATCCTTTTTTCTCAAATGACAAACCAATGTCACATTTTGAGCGTAAGTATGTTTCTTGAATCCTGTTGCGTAACTTGAGCAGAGCGCTGGTCAGAGGAGCACAGAGGCAGACAGGAGGACATATCTTATTTATGGAAATATGTCTGCATATAAAAAGGAGGGCAGACCATTTCATATTCCTACTGTGCGGACCTGCTGAAAGAGGACACACTGAAAGAAAGAAAGAAAGACTTTTCTGCACACACAAGAATCACAAACTCCATTATTGGTTCTTTTTTTATTATAAAAAAAAACAGTGACAAATAAATAGACCAAAACAATGTAAAAATATAATGTTTAAGAGATCTGTAGGGGGGGAAATGCTATAGCAACGGTTTGTTTTAATAGCAATATGTTTGAAGTCAGATTGGTCCCTGGTTTGTTTGATATGAGAAACAACTCACAACATATCGTAGCACCGTTTTGTTGTAAATCACATTTCACATGGATGCAGGACACGCATGAGAACAATGAAACAACTGAGTTAGCTGCGGGTCAGATAGAAAAAAAAGGGCCCCTGCTTACAGTTTCATTTCATATAAATATAATATATTAATTTATACATTGTACACAAGAATCGCTCTATACCACGTACACAACTCAGGTAAACGCATGAATAAAAAAAGGCAGCTTACAATTGAACAAATCAAAACCAAAAGCTGTGGGAATAACTGAAATGAAAGTCTTATAGCTGCACAGTCGAAAATACAAAACATTGAGCGCAACGACGATTCTGTGCAGAAACCTGTGCTTAAGTAATTAAACTGTCTAAAGATATGCAAGCTAAATGCCACTTACTCCAACTTCTCTGAAGGCATTGAGATTATGTTTACAATCTTAAGGAGCAAATGTCAGTATTGATGCGTCTGTGGGGTGTGAGCATGTGCAAACATTCAGTTGATGACTTGAGATTATAACCCTGAATTCACTACAGATTAGGCCTGTGTTTGCAGCATCGATGTTCGTCTGCTGAACTGTGCCATATGAGAACATGGATGGAGACGTGTTAATGATGACGAAGGCTAGCTTAGCGCACCAGGAGGAAGGTGAGTCCGGCGAGGCCGACCCCAGCGGCGGCCATCAGCGCCGTCTTCATGGACGAGTCCTGGCTCACCCCTCTGGCCGTGCGGGAGAACGAGCAGAACCCCTCCTACGAGAAGAGAAACAACAAATGGTTAAAAACTTTTCATTTACTGGCAAGAGCGAATGTTTATCTGCTTCTCGTGAGTTTTTCTGCTTATGTTGTAGGTTTTTAAAAACAAAAAGAGAGAGAGAGAGTATAAGCTGCCAAACGACAGCTTGGCCGACAGCTAGCGGCAATTATATTATGGATAATAAGTCTCAGTCCCTGACAGCGCCGTGCTTTTACATAAACACAGACAGATATTTGCCCTCAGTACTGCTGAGATCGGCAACTTTTTAAATATCCTGACAGCCAAGCAGTTTTTTAAAGTAAGCAGAATAAATCATGTCAAAGTGTCAACCTGAAGTTTTTCATTTTCTTCATTTTTGTGCAGAAATAATTCAATTTGGCTATATATATATATATTTATATATATATATATATATATATATATGATTTAAATCTAGCTTATTCTGCTCTTTTAGCAACACATTAAAAAACTGTTCTGCTGTAAATCTCTCCATCATGTTTGAGGAACTTGTACTTGACTTCAGTATGTTCACATTATATACTTCAAATGTTGTACAAGTTACTTGGAGATTTAAGGTGTATAGGTTACTAATACAAAACCATTATATTAAACATTAAGATAGGCAATAGTGTATAAAGTCATTAAAATAACATGAAGTTACAGAAACATGGCCTTTTGTTCGTTCACAGTCAATTTAGTTATGAACTCATTCTAGCTTCTTCCGCTCCATTAGCGAGACAATAATAACCAGTTCTGCTGTATTTGTCTCCGTCATGTTGTCAGACTGGAGCCACACAGTTGGCCAGAGTTGCACCTGCTCTCGGCTCCAGGTGTTCCTCTGCAGCTGCTTGTTTTCATAGTCATACCACGCTAACTTCAATATGAAGCCAAACCCAACACACATAGAAGCCCTGACTGTTACTACAAAGTCCATCTGGCTGAGCTGGTTACGTGTCTGTTGAAACCAGCTGCCAGCTGAAGAAAGGAGGGGGGAGGGGTGAGGGTGTGTGTGTGTGTGTGTGTGTGTGTGTGTGTGTGTGTGTGTGTGTTATCATGTGAGTGTGAAAGAAATGCTTCCACAGTGTGTGTGTGTGTGTGTGTGTGTGTGTGTGTGTGTGTGGGGGGGGGTGTTTGGGAGGGGGCCAGGGCAAACCCATTGACAAAAGCAGACATTCAACTGTAGTTGTGTTCCGTTTGGTGAGGCTTCTGGGAACTTGGTTCCATCCCAACCCTTTTCCCACTTAAATAAACCACAACAAGCACGTTTGAAATGACCTTCGTCCTTTTCATTGCCACTGGCTAGACGAGTGTATAGTCCAGTTCTGCCCGACAACACAGCTTCTGTTTGACCTTTACAAAACAGTTTGATCATTTAAGACCCAACTCCGTTTGAGGGTTGTCTTTTCTGTAGACGACATTCCTCACAATCTCTCCTGTTGCTGCTCTACAATTCATATAATCAAAGCAACCACATGAAACATGAGCGTCCGTCGTCTCATCTGCGAAGCGTAAACTCAAAAGGCTGCATCTAAACTAAGCCCTGGCTGGTTTCTAAGCCACGTTTACACAGATCTGAATATAAAACGGAGCAGGAAGCGAACATGATCCTATCAAACTCTGGGGGGTTTCCAACGCCCAAATTCTAAATGCATCACTTTCAGTTTGAGTCTGAAGGGGATTTTTTAAATGTAAATTGCCTAACGCCTTCGATACAATCAAACATACCCCTTATCTCCAATGTTTGTGTTGACACAGCTCTGCAATATCTAAGATGTAATCAGTTGAAAGGCAGACATGTTGTAACCTACCCATCCGTCGTTCTCCAGCATCCAGTCCTTCTTCTCCTCCCCCAGGTAGTCAGCGATGGTCTCTGCCAGCCCTCTGAAGCTCCCAGGCTCCGGTCCTGGCTCCGGTCCTGGCTCCTGCCCCAGCTTCACACCCTTCTGCTCCTGCAGCTGTCTGGCCAGCACCCCGGTGAAGGTGAAAAGGGAAACAACCCTCCCCCAGTTCAAGTGTCCATCTCCCACCAGCTCCTCTATCACCTTCCTGAGGCTGGAGCAGGGGTCCGGCCCACACTGCCTGAGGAAGCTCTGAGCGAGGGAGTGGAAGCGGGCCTGGTGCTGCGCCTCCATGTCCCGGGCCAGGCACCTCATGGCAGCGGCTGACTCGCTGGGAGGCGGGGGGGCTGGCCGGGGGCTCGTGCAGCTCAGGGACAGGTAGTCCTCTGCCAGAGCCAGGGTCTCTTTCCACAGCCCACACGACATTTTCTACAGGAGAAATGAAGATAAAGCAAGTTATTCTTCTGCTTTGAAGAACCACAGATATGGTTTGTTGATTTGAAGGCAACAGCTCATGGAAAAAAGTACATTCAAGTACTTGATACCAAAAATAATGCTGAATTGTATAATACACAAAATGTCATAGCATAGTATGTGTTAAAAATGTAATTGTATTGCATAAAATGTCAGAACAATGTCATAGTATGACATTAACAAATGTCATAAAATGGTATGAGTCATAGTAAAGTGTCCCGTTATGTCATAGTATTACATGCCATTATAGAAGGTCATACAACATCTCAAAGTACATTTGCAACTTTCTTATCAAAAAGTGATGGTATTGCAAATTCATTTAAAAAAAAAAAGTAAGAGCACAGCATTTCATAAAAATGCCATTAAAGAAAGACAAATTCATTTAAATGACAGCTTTACACAAATTAGCGGATAATTTCATTCAGCACATCCTGCAATTAACGAGGTTAACCAACAACTGCCCAGTTCATAGTTAGCATTAGCATCCCCTGGAAATAATATTTGACCACTAACCATTCAAGATATTTTCTTTAAATATAAACAAATAGCAGCATCAGAATACTCTTAACCCCACTTTATAATAACTACCAGGTTTTTTAAATAACTAGACATGGAGGGTGTGTTAGCCGGGTGTTAAACAGCTTCCATTTAAAGCGCTTGTGTGAACGCTTGCTCTCGGTTAATGCAAGCCGGAAGATGCTGAAGGCTAAATACACAGCTATACATATGTAAATACCAGACTAGTTTGAGTGTTGCATTAAGTGAATTATCCTTTAAAAAGGGGATTTAAGTGTTGAATTAGCAGCAGGCTAACCGGCTGCCTTTCCTCCCAAGATCTGTCACCAGAGCAATGGAGGACACAAAGGACCACACAGGCTACGAGGAGCTAGCTCACTGCGAAAGCCACATCCGCACATTAAATGCCTTTATAATATAAAATACAAGCACCTACTTGTGGTAAAAGCTGTAAATTTACAAAAGGACACATTTATAGCTAAGTCAAATACATTTTTCAGTGCGTAAAAGGGACAAAACCTTACCCTCCCAGCGATATCAGACTGCTCTCTGCACATACGGACAGCGGAAGGAGATCCTTGTTGCACTCGCACTCAGGCTGGCTGCTACACATCTATCAGATGACTCCGCCTCCGGGTTTCTTATATGCATGTGCTGCTCCACCGCAAAAAAAAGAAAATGGCATAAAAAAAACCGTTAAAGTCCCGTCAGTGTGCATAGCGCGAGCTGTTTCCCTGATGAAAGGAAAAAACCCAATTAACTCTGTCATTATCAGGTAGGGAAATCGAAAGGACTTGTCAATAATAAACAAGTCGAAACTCAACATTATTGTGTAAATGAATACAATTTTAAGATTATTGTAAAGCAATACAGGTTTAAAGACTACTGTGTTGATTGAGACACAAAGCGACAGTTATGAATATCACATGTAAACATTTTTAAATGATCGCTTTGGATAAAAGCATCAGCTAAATTATATGTATTGTAATGTGTGGGTCATTAGACACATGTCATTTTTACATTTACCAAAATATGGAGGTCTCGGAGAAATGCAAAAAGTGTCCCATGGAACTTCTAAGAAATGGTCTTGCCAAATGTATGTAGGTAACTATTTCTCTAATATAATCCTAGAATTCTTTTTAAGCACAAAACCTGCAAAAAGTCCCATCAGAATACAGATGTTTCCTTCTTTCTCTACGATAAATGTGGAAAACACAAATTATCTTCATCATTAGATCATTGTGCAGGCTTTCAGGTAGAAAAAACGAAAGGGCTTATAAATTATAAAAGCTTTGAAGTTAAATACAATTGTGTTGTTAATCCTAATACAATATTACAACCATTGCTTATATGTTTCACTTTTAAAACCCCAATAAAAAGTCACAAAAAATTATATGTCCTAACGAATGCTGAATTCCTGCAATTTAAATAACCAAGCAATTCCTTCATTATACCTGAAAAATAATAAGCATATGAAACAATAAAGGATCTTGCCTGGTTGCATCTATGACACTAATTGCAGCAACAAATCACCTTATGTAAATTCATGAATGTAATCTTCACTTAGAAAAAATGATTTAGGTCTCATGTAATCCATCGAGGTTTCATTCATCAGAAAACCATCTCACTACTCTCCCCTCAGGGTGTGACATCACAGCGTGTAAACTACACACGGAAAGACCTTGAATGTGAATGGCTTGAGGAAGTGGAAATGCAGAGGGTTTGTAATGAAGAAGGCAGTCAGTTTAAGAAAACGGTTCCATGTAGTGTGGTGAATCTGGGGGCATTTTGGGTACTTCCTCTGCTTGGTAATACCCATCCGTCCACTCCACTATCCTTCCCTTTCTCTTCCCGTCTCTCACCTAACTCTCTCTTCTATTTGGGTTTTCCCATGGGTGTTTCCCTATTTCAATTCCAAATAACCTGGCTGGGGTCGAAATATATTAACCCTCCTATTTGGTGTTCGTGGTAAAATTTGACCGGTCCTGTTTTAACTGCTATTACATTAACACAAAAACCATTAATCATCACCAAATTTCATTTAACACCCTTTCAAACTGTAAATATTGTATCAGACTACTGGTATAGGCCCTACATGAACAACTGCAGTAAATACACAAAGAATATACACTGAACATGTATTGCGTGTGCCAGGTGTGCCATGGGGGGATGGCCACATAACCGGTGGGGGGAAACACATCTAGTGTGTGTGTGTGTGTGTGTGTGTGTGTGTGTGTGTGTGTGTGTGTGTGTGTGTGTGTGTGTGTGTGTGTGTGTGTGTGTGTGTGTGTGTGTGTGTGTGTGTGTTATCTGATCCGAATGGTTTCTATTTCCTTTTCTTTATGGCGGTAATTTTGGACCCCGGTCCAAAATTACCGCCATAAAGAAAAGGAAATAGAAACCATTCGGATCAGATAACACACACACACACACACACACACACACACACACACACACACACACANTTCTTCTCCCACATTCCACATCGCAGAAACTCCGTTCAAACATCAAAACGTTCAGCTCGGTCGGGAATCGATGGCTATTAATTACTTTGCTCATTTATAACTTTCCTAATTCCAGAGATACATCCCTTAATTCATCAAATTTGTAACATGGAAGTCAATGGAGAAACTCTTCAGACTTGAACAATCTTCATGCAACTTCAACTGCTAGAAACCTCATTCCAACTTTAAAATGTTACACATCTTTCTGACATTATTAACTATCTTTAGAGATATTAAACATTGTTCAGACCTTGGTAAAGAGGCCTTCTTCAGATTTTAGAGTGCGTGATGTCACAGCTAGAGTGGAGGACAGATTTAATTTTGCCGTCATATTTTGTTTTAAAACTGCCATAATTAAACATTTAATTCCTGAGACATAATTTATCATGACAAACGTAGGAAAACATCACGTAGCTTTAAAAATTAAAAAGAGAGACTTTACATCTTCTCTATATTTATCAATAAGATATATTTTTTACGAAACATATTTTTCGATGTAGCTTCCGTATTAGTTTTCTCTTTGGTTTAACTTCCTCCAGCGTGACGTAAATGTTACCCTGCGGTATTATTGAAATAAGCTTCCCTAAAACTGGGTAATGCAATGGTTAAAATAAATCTGCAGACTATTTCCCCTGGAAAGACTCGCTGCCAAAAGAAAAAGGAAATGAGAATGTGGTCACAAAAGCTGCTACTGATAAATCACATACCGATCATTTAAGTTACTCATTGCAAAGAGGAAGTTGAACAATGGATAGCTTCAGAGGCCCTTCATCATTTCGCGAATGATTTGCATGTTAACAATACAGTATGTGCATTCGGAAGAATGTGCGGATGTATCTTCCTATTGATGTGTGTGTTTCTGACTCTAAAGGCATCATAATAATCCAAACCCGTCCCAGACCATAACTCTTTCTTGTGCTAACGATACAAAACAATCCTTTTACATTGTCTCCTGTACACATTGTGTGGTATACATTCTGAAACCTATGGAGCATAGGGATTTAGCATGTTGTTTCATATCATGTAGCCTATACACATTTTGCAAACCATGCTGCTGTGCTTTTAGATATTTGCAATGTTTTCAACCATTCCAAGCTTTCAATGGTTTCAATTAATCTCTGTATGATAAATCGTTTATCAGCCCTTTAAAACTTACTTAACGTACTTAACAACGCCCTTCGGATCATAACTGGGTGCCTGAAGCCCACCCCCGTGTCCTACCTGCCAGTCCTAGCGGGAATTGCCCCGGCCGGCCTCCGACGAGAGGCCGCTACCCTTGCACTTGCAAGGAAAGCCCAAGAACATGACTGGCATATCCTGCATGAAACCACAACTAAGGCAGCGACCCCAAGCAGACTCAAGTCCCGTCACCCCTACAACAGGAGAGCACAAGAGATGCTTGGTTCCATCCCTGAGGACCTGTCTACAAGGGCATGGTTAGCAACTTCCTGGAAGCAGGAATGGGAGTCGGCTGAGCTCACACGTCTGCACCATCACATCCAAGACCCGGGAGATGGAGTCGAAGGAGAACATCTACCACGCCGGCACTGCGACCCTACTGAACCGCTCCGTACTAGGGTTTGGTTCGGCTTCAAATCATCAATGAAGGAGTTGGGGCCTGGCAGGACAGCGCAGTATGCGAGTGTGGCGAGCCTGAGCAGGACTGCCGACCCACATAATCACCACTTGTCCTCTGTACAGACCTCCTTCAGAGGCTGGCTCTTTCCATGTGGGACCAGAGACCGAGAGCGTGCTTTGTGACACTTGGCTGGACATATGACGACGATACACGAAAAGAGAAGAAAACGTACTTGAGTTATGAAATCCATCACCATTTTATTGTAATTTTGTTATTTTAATACGATTATAATCCTATACTGGTGTACCTTTCTGCAATTGCAACAGTATTACACTCCAATAATGCTAAAAACATTATTCGATCAGTGGTCTCGGACAAACAACCAAAGGTTAAACC